ACCCAGGCTCAGAGGCCACACAGGACAGTGGACCCAGGCTCAGAGGCCACACAGGACAGTGGACCCAGGCTCAGAGGCCACACAGGACAGTGGACACAGGCTCAGAGGCCACACAGGACAGTGGACCCAGGCTCAGAGGCCACACAGGACAGTGGACCCAGGCTCAGAGGCCACACATGTCAGTGGACCCAGGCTCAGAGGCCACACAGGACAGTGGACCCAGGCTCAGAGGCTGTGTCACTGTGAGAACCATTACATGAAGTGTGGGTCAGAGCTCCAAGGACCCGATGTCTACTTGGATTGATCTGCAGTCCTAATTTCCAGTAGTGAAAAGCAGCCTTTCTATTAGATGATTTAAGAGTTGCCTTTCTTTATTCCTGACATAGCCTGCTGGGGTGATCTTCTGTGGCCGGATGTGGGGTGATTGACTCTTGTGATAACATCAAAGACACAGAAACACACAAACCTCTGTGTGTGGGGTCTGCCCTCATGCATCTTCCAGGCATCTTCTAATAGGGGCAGAGTGTGGCCCTTCAGTCCAGGGCCAGAAGGAAACAGTGGGGGAAGCACAGGCCACACAGGACTGGGGCTGCCTTAGGAGCAGGTCCCACAGGATGGATTAGCCCCACAGCGTCCTGTCTGCTAATCCTCACTCCTCCTCACACAGAGCTCCCTCAGGGGACTGTTGGTCCTGGCAGAGGGTGGACATTAAAACCACATCCTGTGCCTTCAGTCCCCAGCACATCCTGAGCTAATGCAATCTCCAGTTACCACCAGTTAATAACTGCCATGGCCAGAGGGAGGCCAGGTGAGCAGACATCTCCCCATGCAGTCTGCAAATTAAATTCAAGAAAATTATCAATATATATTCTTGCAAAGAGCCCAACAGAGATTTGTTAAGTAAGTTATTTGATTTTCCCTTGGTTCTGCTGCTCTGGAAAAAGAACCTGAGTACATTCATCCATCTCAGGGGAGCCTGGGGTACTGAAGGACCCCTTGATGTTCACTTGAGGGTATTTTTTTTTTTTTTTTGGTATCATGAAAGTTGAGAAAATAAAAGACCATTAACAGAAATGAGAATTTTAAATACCACACTTAGGGTGACTTATCTCATTTTTAGGCGATCTCTCTTCCCACATGGGTCCAGAATCCCAGASGCCCTCACAAAGGGAACCTGGAGACACGGGGTTGATGGCAGTGGATGCCGTCGGGCCATAAAGGAGGTTTTTAATGCCTGTGTGATCTGAGGTGTGTGTCTTGAGACCCTGGGTTCTGTGTGCTGTCTGCTAGTGAGATGATCCCACACATCTGTCGTTTCTCCAATTAGATCATGAACTCCATGCTGAGAACATCAGCTGGCATCTAAGTGCCTAGAATGTCGGCTGATGCATTGTCTGAAATTACCTGTTGGTTCCAGAAACCAGCGGGGAGCCTCTGACTCTTCTCCTCCTGTAATTTGGTTCACTGAGGAAATAAGTCAGTGGTTCTTCTTTGCTCTGCGGCGGCTGATGAAATGCCCAACTGGTCCTGGTTACATTATGCTTCCCAAAGGGCACCTCAGTTTGATTCAGTTGGCCATTTAGCTTTTCCTGTATAGATTCCAGCTATTGAGAAGAGGCCCTAATAACACGGATGTCATTGTAATACATAGCTCGCCATTGCTTTCCTAACAACAAGCAGCATTAAAAAAATGAGTGTATGATTTTAGACCCTTAACAGTAACCTAAGGGATTTTATAGGACATTAACTTGCTGCATTTATATTTTAAATTTTGCATTTATTTAAAACTTTCCTTCATTTATTTTAGTGACATCCTTTCCTAAATTAGATGTTATGGTAATAATAAAGCTATTTTACATGGGGTTACATTTATTAGCTCTCCTGAGCTTTCACATGCATTATTTCATTTTTCTCCTTACCACAGGCAGGAAAAGTTTATTATACATATTTTATAGCCATGAAAACAGAGGTACGGAGAGGTAAAACGACTTCCCTCAGGGTCACAGAGACAGTAACTAGCAGAGTTGGAGCCAAAACTCCATCTTTGACTCCCTGTTTCTGCCTGCAGCTCTGTGCCCAGTACGTTCCAGCCCCAAACCTGGCTGTGTGCACAGCCCCAGATCAGAAGTTCGCCAGCTTCATGCCTGGCCTCCCCCTGCTAGGACTCTGTGTTTGCAAAGTTGAGGAAATGCAATTTTCCTCTAGTAATTCAGAAAGGAACGTGACTGCTTGGTAAGAGTCTGGGGAATGTGGCCCTTCCCGTTCTACTGTGGGGCAGGAGCATGGCACGTCAGTGTCCAGGGTGGCTGGGAACACTGAACCAAGTGGCTGAAGAACCCCTCACCCAGGACGTGCTCTGCTGAGTCCTGAAGGCAAGTGAGTCAACCATGGCGATGCAGGTGTGCAGAGAGGTGGACCACGGTGCTGCTCGTGAATCAGAGAGGGGGAGGGGGGCCAAGGCTGTGAGGAGAACCAGCTCGGGCCGCAGCTATTACATATGTGCATCGACAAGCAAGACCTTGGATTCAAGCAATGTATACTCACGGGGTGAGACCCTGATGGTGAGAAGCTCCCTAGCCAGGTACTTCTCCAGCACACAGATAAGGAAGTGGGCCTGGGGCACTCAGCATAGAGCACCTGCACTAGAGAGGCTCCGCAGCACCTGGTGCTGTTGGTGAACCTGTCCTAGGTCCTGAGCCAGGGACATGAGTCTAATTATTAATAGCACTGAGTGGAACAGGCCAATGGGAAGATGATAGAAATAGATGCTCATTTGCAAAGATGTTCAAAATACAGCAACTGAAAGACAGAGGCCCCAGGGCAGCCTACTGCAGGCCCATAAGTTTGCAAAGCATAGACAGGGTGGTCAGCCTTTCAAAATGTGAATTGCCTCCCAAGTAATCCGTAAAGAAAGGAGTGAGCATGATAACATTCCTTTTCTAGAAAAATAATGTGCAGATGTTCTCAGGGGCAACTTCCTCACACATAAAGGGGGATCTTCAGCAACATACAGGTACACTAAGAAAAGAGGTGAAAACCCTGCAGATAGATAGCTCTCTATTAACAAATGAAGTTTCTGGGCTCATGGACTTAAGAGCTAGTTCCTGATGCTCTCTGATGAATGAGACAGGAAGATATTTTTCTCTGTGTTAAAATCATTGATTAATGAGGAAGAATGCCCCCAAATCATACTTTTGATTTTGATAAAACAGTTATAATAAAAACTGTCAAAACCTGTCTGCAAGACCCCACACAGGGGCGTAGCCAAAGTGGTGGGTGAGTAGAGCTGCAGGAGAGACAGACACCAGGTGCAGGTGTAAGAAGAAGGAGCCTTCTGGAGATAGTCACTCCAGGGCAGCTGCTGTTTGTGCCAGGACTCTGGGCACAGGGTTCTGGAGTACGCAGGGAGCTACCCCAACACCATTTCTCCAGAATAACTGCTGGCTGTGCAGCTTTCTTGCATGCAAGGGTTTCTGGAGAACTTTATTCCAAAAACTATGTCTACTTCCAAAAGCACCTGATAACATAAAACCACGGGGAAGCACAAAGAGAGGCCGAGGGAGGCGTTGAGTGCAAAAACTCATATTTCCACCCTTTGCCTTCTCTGTGTGTACTCTTTGTTTGCTATAAACATATTTCTTTTTTTAATTTTGGAAAAACAGTTGATAAAGTTAAAACAATCTGCAAGTAGTTCTTCTGCAAAGTCCCGYGGGAGGCCGTTAGACAGCCAGCTCCGCACTGTGCAGCACCTGAAGCGGAGCCCCAAGCACGCCCGCGTTTGCCATGCAATGCCACATTTACAGGAGAAGAAAAAGGACATACTCACACATACAAGACGGATCTGGTGTCCCCCACCTTCCCGGCGTCCCCTACTGTCAGGGTGTCGTACCCTCTTTCCAACTCAAACTCTTCAAAGGCGAGCTTGATGACCTGGATGCAAAGCACAGAGAGTTACTGAGCAGAGGGAGCTTCCGCCACTCTTCCTGCTGCACACCCAGCTCTAGACCAGAGTTCCCTCCTTAATGCCAATGGATTACAGATGATCTGCAAGCTTCTTTAAGTACCTGCAGGGATGACTGCATGAATTCTAGTGCCTTTAATTAGCAGAAATTTATAGAATTCTAAATTTCTATTTCTTCCAAGTTATTTATTCCTCGCTATAAAATGAAGTTTAACCATGACCATACTTTAAGTCAATATCCAGCAAATATCTATTTTAAAATTTAGGTTGTTTAGACTAACCTCACAACATATGACCAAAAGAGACATTGATTGCAGTTCATAAGGCATGTTTTGAGGACACCAAGAACACCCCACGTCAATGTTTTTAATGTGATTTAATTTTTCACTATGAACTTTTTATAAAAAGGTCTTTCTGAGGCTCCAAGTTGCCCCGACAGCTCATTCTTTACAAAGCCTTGAAGTTTATTTCTACTTTATTTTTCCTGCCCTCTTGCCCCAGTACTGAGAATGCAACCTAGGACCTCATGTGCGCTAGGCAAGTGCTCTACCCCGAGCCTCTTCATCTACATACACATTAAAAAACTCTGTAGATCACAGGAAACTTTCCCCCGAAAGAAAAAAAAAATGYTTGTTGACTCATATTGTGAGTAAAGAGAAAGACAGCCAGCGCTATCTTGAAATTAGTCTAGAACACCGAGTACCACAGTGTTGAAGGAAAAGAAATAGATCATGTTAGATAAGTGGTAGATGATAGAGGGATGATATGTGGATAAATAAATAGATGATGGATAGATGATGGATGGATAGGCTACACAGAGATGGGGGATATGTAATAGGTGGGTAGATGATGGATGATTGTTGATAGATGGAAGATAGACAGATGTCAGATAGATGGACGGGTGGAAGAGAAACAGACATGCAGGACAGGAGGAAGACAGGAGGAAGGAATGGAAACGCACAACTCATAATGTTGGAAGCACATTGTGGGAGCTGTTTCTGCATAAAGCTGAAACTTGGAAGCTTACCCCTCAAGTCTGTCTGTTAAACTTGGCAGGAGAGAGAAGGTGATAACACGGAAGGCTCATTTCAATGTGTGCAGTGTTCCCGGGGCCTGAACAGGTGCTTTTCCAATCAATGCTAATAAGGAATACATTATTTTTGGTATTTGAAATTCTAACTAAAATTAGTGACATACCCATTATAATTTGTTTTAAAAACCAGTGTTTCAAATTGCAGTGTTTATATGGATATGTCATTCTGGTGCTCTGTCAGGAAACAAGTGTGGGGTGATCACATTGCTGATCTGCATAAATCCTGAACATCACGTGGAGCGCCAGTGGCAGCTGTAGTCTGCCTTCTCTGGCGCGGTTCTGTTTAGGGGCGACCACGTCCAACGAGAGCCAGAGGGACTTCTCTAAGACCTGGTGGTCCATTCCTTTCCTGTGGAGTTTACTCAGGTGCCTTGCCCAGGGCCCTGGAGCCAGGCTGTGATACTGCATCAGGCTTCAGGGCCCTGGGGGCCAGTGCATAACAAGTTGCAGGTTGGGCAGCACCACCCCAGTGCATTTGACCGTTTCCCGCTCTTCCAGGAAGGAGAAGGCTGCCGTGGGGTCTCTGCAGAGTCCAGTCTCCACACTCGGCAGTAGCCCTTGCCTACTGGACATCTGAACTCCTTGCTACTGAGGCTTGGTAGAAAGGGAAAACACAGGCTCAGGCCCCTCTATGGCACCTGCAGTCTATCCGAAAATGCAGCCTTCCCTAAACATGGGATTGTGAAAGAAGTTTCTATATTTTAATTGAACTTCCCATTCAGAGAGGTAAATGAAGAGAGGCTGACAGGATAGTGCATTTTAACTTGTGGATGACATGGTGACATTTAGCCACTGGGTGTCTGTCCCTCCCACACCTAGTCTGCCCGGCCACTGTACTCCTCAAGTCTCTGCATTGTTAAAAGTGCAGATCCATCTGTCCCTAAATGCTAACTTTGTACCAAAACCTGTTCTGAGACTAAATGTAGCCATTCGGCTGGTGCAAGAGGCAGTACTGGGGTTACAGGCCTGTTCCAGGTACAAGCAGGTGGGTTGAGAAGATGAGCCATTCCAGCTGCCTGATCTACAACCCCTCCCTCTCTAGCTACCTGGAAGTACAAAACGGTATCTCACGAAGGAGTGATCTTTCCTGGGTCTACATCTCTGCCTCTGACTTAAAATTTCCTTGGACTGCTAGAAATGCATTCTATGCTTTCATGCAAAAGACATTTGGGTAAATCAAGAATAAAGCGGAAGTGGTATAATGTGATGATTTTTAAATAAATTAATATCATCTGTATTTCCTTTCACTTTGGTATAGGACTTGGAAGGAAAGATTGTTACACACCAAGCATAATATGATTATGCATAGTTTTATGTAGAGCATAGTAAATTGGATACACCAGTTAAGTACAGGTTATTTTATAAAATAAGTAAAGCCTTTAGATGCTAAAAAAGCCATAGTTTTGATTATTGTAGAATGCTATCTTGCTATCAGAGGGTAATTTATTTCACATAATTAGTACAAAATGAACTCTACTTTAAAAAATAAAAGAGCCTCTAAACCAATATGCAATGTTCTCCCTTGATATCCCTCTTGATAACCCCTTCTTGCAGGGTCCCCACAGTGTTTTTCCCTAACCCTTCCTTACCTTTCCTAATAAAGGAGTGGGGGGAGGGATGTAAAGAAAGCAAGTAGGGTGGTTTTCCTTAACACCTGTGTCAACACTAAGAGGAGCCTGGGCCTGGCAAACCTCAGGGTCCCCAGACAGGGTACACTCGCGCCATCCTAGGAAATCTAGGCACGAGGCAGTGGCCACACCAGGGATCCTCCCTACACGGTGCCACCTGACCACCAGGGTCTCTGCTCTCCCTGTGAAGGCCAAACCCAGGGACCAGCYACGACAGCAGGGTCTCTGTTCGGAGGACCCCAGAGCTCTGAGAAAGCCGCACTGTCCCCACGCTCGAGCGCCCGGCGCTCAGCAGCGCTTTGCCGTGGTCTGCGTGTTGGCGTGGTCGAGACCCACACGCTGAGGTGTCATGCCCTGGTGGTGACAGGATGACACGGGGCCTCTGAGAGGTCCTCAAACTTGAGGGTGGAGCCATGTGAGGACCAGGAGAGCCCTGGCCCTGCCAGCGTGGGAGCACCCAGCCCGCAGGTGCCCTCTGTGAACAGGAGGCAGGAGGGAAGCTGCCTGGGTGCTGGACTCCAGCTCTGGCTCCGAGACAGCCTGACTTGTGCGGCCCCAGGTGCATTGTTCCGCAGCTGAGCTCCTGACAGGAGCAGCAGAGTCCACTCCCAGGAGGACCCAGGAGGGCCCAGGAGGGTCCAGGAGRGTCCAGGAGGGCCCAGGAGTGCTGGGCTGACAAGGAAGTTCCCAAAGGAGAAGTGCAGACCACCAGGACCTCACTCCCACCCCCCAGCCTGTGGGACGGCTGAACCGCCTCGTGCAATGGGCCTGGCAGAGGCCTGGGCTGTGCCCGTGGACAGACCTGGAGACAGAGTGGGTCAGTGAGATGTTGCCATAACGTTTTTTGGTTGCTTTATTTTGTCTTTCTATCAGTCTTAAGTTCACCCTGTATGTTTTCAGAACTTCTCTCTAGAAACATGCTTCAAATTGTAGAAGGCACTGTCTCATTCACCCACGGCAACATTCCTGGTGTCCATCTGTTTCTGAAGGCCATGAGCTGACCGTTCTGCTCCGGGTCTCCATGCTGCCTGGCTTTTGAGGTGACGTTTTATCCCTACTGTTCATTATTATTTTTAACATAGTTATTTTCAGGTAACTGAGAGATCATCACAAAATATTCTTAGAAACATAGCGAAATTTCATCTTCCTTTTCAATCTATAATAAACCCATGAACCCACGTTGGCTAGGAACATGGACATGCACATACTCTCTGCCAAGTGAACAGACCATTAGTGCATTTATTCTGTGTAGAAAAGCCAGCCTAATTCCATAAATAATAGGCTTCACAAGTTTTCTTGCAATGACACAGTTCGAAGAACTCAAGCACACACACCCCTAAGTGTCTGTAGCTCTTCCCTAAAACCCATGCAAGAGTCTCCCGGTGTTTCATCATCTTTTTAATTGTAAATCAGGAGACCAATGAAATGCTGTACTGAATATGTTGGAAATCCAAGCTTAAAGCTCACCTTTCTCTGAGAACCGCAGAGTACTTCAGTGAGAGACGCTGAAATAAGAGTGTGACTGTGGATATAGTCACAACATGAGCAGGTCATTACAAAAACAGCCATAATAATTAGAGCAGGGAAAGGAGTTACTGAAAAGCCCCAGTATTCCTTGAAATGCTACTGGGAGCAGATCCTCAAGAACAGAGCTTGCCCCAGCAGGACCCCATGTCACACCAGTGCCGCCAGTCCTGCATCAACTGTCCGGCACCCACGTATGTTTTAATATTTTGGCAGTGATGAGAAAGTCATGAATTGGAAGTCAGAATATTAACCTCATATTATTTTGGTGCCTAAACCACATGAACAGATTTTAAACTACACTGATGCACTTAGCAGACAGAATGGCTAAAACAACATGCGATATTTTCAAGAAAAGCACAGATTGTTTATCTATTATTTTCCATTGAATATGATGAGAATCGTAAGTAAACAGCTATAATCACTGTCCTCAGCCTGCTTATAGTAAATGTGGAAACATAATTCTGTATACTTTACTGAAAACATATCAGGATGCTACACACAATAAATGAAGATCATCTTAGTTTTTAAAATAAGAAATTAGAAAATTTTCAAAATAAGAAAAGTTATGTCTAGTCCTGAGTAACTCCCAAGCTGTTAATTCTAAATGTGTACGAGACACCTTGTTTGATGTAATATCGAGGGGTGTCTAAAAGTCATGTCTAAAATTCTCTCTCCTGAATTTCCAAAAGAGAAATCTGGCACCCTTATCTCCCTACCTCAT